TTTTTTCAGTGATGACGAGCCCGACGGGCAAAAACAACTGTATTCAATAAGGACTGAAAAACGAGATATTAGTCAATAAAGATTCACCATCTTCCTGACAGAAAAATGATGTATATATACTTGACCAGACTGAAGAAAAATTTGTCCCAAACACAATATACAAAATAAAAGTCATCATCATCATGTTAAGATGTATAAATACCAAATAAAAACTTTAGCACTAGTATTTTAGCTATTACAACACAAATTAGTGGAGCTTTCCTTGTGCGATTTACAGCTGATTCACCAAGAAGAAATGACGGCAGCGGTGCTGGAGGGTAAGTAGTGTTGAGAACAATTAAAGCAACTTGTCCTCCTTATATTACGGTTAAGTAATTATTAGATGTTTAAATGTCACAGCCACAGGTAATTATATACTAGTGTAATTGCTTGTCTTGATTTAGTGGTTAATGACAGTAGCTGGCCTCTTAAACAGTGATGGTTGATACAGTAGGTGATAAAAGCAGTTGTTGAAACCGCTCACTTGAGTGTCATTGCATGCCCAGCACGCCAACAGCGAACAGAGACTGACCGATCGCCTAGCTGCTAATTGTTTCAAATCAGTAAGAAAAAAAGATAGAACTGAGGATTTGAGAGGGTAGCATGCCCAGAGACGTCTGGTGGGAAACATTAGGTGCAAAATTGAAAGATTCTGTTTAAATTAAAACCTTGTCTTTAATTGTAGGTGTCGCTTTAAATCAATAATCTTAAATTTAATCACTTTAAATCGATGTTATATTATACACTACTTGAATTGCAAATTATGAGGAATACATACTGTATGCAAATATTTAATATTAATGAACATTATTAACATGAATGAAGTTATTGAAAAGGGAAAAATAAGCCAGGATTGACTCAATTTATGATGCTTTGAATTATCTCAGTAACAAGATGTGTAAAAATCAAGAAATCTTTTCTTAGATAATCAAAGTACATCATGGGTAACTCCAGTTGTAGTCCACAGTCTACAGGATTAAAAACCTTGAGCCTAAGTGTTGGCTCAAGGCTAGTGCTAAATTAGACAAAAATATATCTTCTCCTTGATTACTTCTGTAAGTCCCTAAAAGGACTTACAGTACTGTACTGTATTGTGAATCATCAGTTACCCTGGATGGACCAACTGCCTGAATGATTAGTAAGCTGATACATAGTGAAAATTATAAAAAATTAAAATAAAATAAAATAAGATCACCCCACTTTAGAGGCCTGTTGTAGCAGTCATGAGGTGAATAACTAGTTCAAAATTTTCTTAATGGAATAGTTAATGTAGATAGACATTTGTAATTTAATGCAAGTTACACACATTTTCAACTTCATAGCGTGTGGCTTGTAGAAAGTATCACATGAATTGTACTTAGCCATAAAGTGGGATTTGAGGATCACTCCCTAATTTTTGCAGCTTTCTATACTAGAGTCAGGGAACACAGTGTAAACAAACAGGTAAATCACTTAGAATATTTTAATAACATTAAATGATTAAAAAATACAAAACATTTAAATTTACTGTATCTGGGGACTAAAGAATCATAATTGTATAAATGCAGGTAACTTGACAATTGAGAAGAAGAAGCGATGTGTACCATTCCTCCATGAGGGGAGTGTGATGTTCAGATGTGTGAAGGGGGAGAATGGCCTGCCTTGGTGTGCTGTGGCAGTCGACGAGTCCCTCAATCCTACTCAGAAGGATATATGTAGGCCTGATTGGTGTAAGTCATTAGGGTGACAAAGTAGTATTGTTTTAATAACCTGTATTTTTTTTTCTAAACATTTAGTGCTTTTAGTTTGATCAGGCACAAAAATATTTGGAATTGTGTATTGTGTATTTTCCCTAGCTTTCATTTTACTTTATATGTACAGTATTTGTTATTACTACAATGTTGATACATATTGCCAAAGCAATATTTAAAGCTATTATTATAGATAATAATGATAATTTGAGTCAGTGGTTTGGTGGGTCATATGTAGCAGATGGGGCCAAGTTCATGTGGGTACCTCCTCCTTCACATAAAAAGAAAAAGTAGAAAGTCAGATTCCAGGATGAGAGTCCTTGAACATTGACACAAAAATTAGCTGACAAACAAAAATAAAATGTATCATACACGTGAGTAAATTAACCAATTCAACCAATAACTGTTGCATTTTATAATTTAATGATTCAAATGGAAATACAGTAAGTCTTCGCTTAACGTCGTGGTTCCGTTCCTGAAAACCGCGACGTTAACGGAATCAATTTTCCTCATAAGAAATAGATGAAATACGGGAGTTACGTATCCAGCCTCCCTTTGCCCCATAAAATACATTACATATGCAGAAATTCAATTAATTTTTTATAGAAAATAGTATATATTATACTCATAGATGTACCACTTTTAGCACTAGCCTTAATCTTGTCTGTGCTGATCCGGATACTATCACTGTTGTGGGGGTTGACCTAGCACAACACCAATGTCCACTGCACGTTCACCTTTCTCAAAACGGTTTAAAACCTCCATTTTCATAGCAAGGCAAATGGTTTTACGTTGCTTCTTCACAACACTAGCATCACCAGCACTTCGTGGGTTCTTGGAAGCCATTTCAAATGGTTACAGTACAGTATTTACAGCAAAAACACTTAACACGCACGAATGATGTGGAAGCCTAACAAAGACTGGGGACGCTGTGACGCTCCATGAGAGAGCGTAGCGCTCCAAGATGAGAGAGGGTGATGTGCCGTACAAAGTAGTCCTTGACGACATTATACCGAATTGGCGGGACGTTTTCTAAGTCATGGGTATCAAAAGAATAGCGACCTTATAACGAAACAACATTGTCGGGGATAACGACAAACGAAGACTTACTGTAGTATTGACATTGTAAATTTCCCCTTAATTATCAATTATGGTGCCCCCAAGCATGATTTGAGCACCCCTTGTTGGTCGTAGCAGTTGGAGTCATGGCCCTAGTGGCCCCACCTGTTACCATGCCACTAAATAGCAGGAAAAGATTTATTTTATATAAGGAGAGTATTTTGTTGGGCACAAAGGCTTCCAAACTGATCCGTCTACTAACCTCTGTCCACTTTGATCTTTTATAGTAATCATCAAATTTTCTAGAAGTTGATCAGTAGATAGTTGCAAATTGAATTGCAGAACCATATTGTTAACTCAATTTAATGTTTGCTTTAATAAAAATAAAATAAAACGTCATTGGGTGCATACTTTAAACAAAAATTAACATTAAATAAAGTCTATATACAACTTGAGAATTCCCTAAAAGCAAGTTATATGGGTTTGTTTAGGCCTCACAAGTTCCTTATAGACCAATACTTTGATTTTCTTTATTTGTATATATTTATATTAATCGAATATTATTACAGTATTGTTTTCACTTATGCCAGATACAGCTTCTCCCCGACTTACGACCACCCGCACTTACGACCTGCCTCAGTCGTACCAAAATATGGTCAAATTACGTATTTTCGAGTCCCAAAGTCAGTACACAGACAAAATTTTCGTTTGTAATTCACTTTAAAATGGCTGGCAAGATTAAAGGTGAGTGTTTTGTGGCGATGAGAAGAAAAAGAGACACCCATTTTAGATTTTCTATGTATTATTTAAGTATTTCCGACTTACGACCTGGATGTCGGTCCCTAACCCCGTCGTAAGTCGGGGAGGAGCTGTACTGTTTATTTTAACATGGCTCTGGAGAGAATAAGCAGCAACTGCTATAAGTTACTTCAAAACTTTTGTTTAATTTGACCAATATCAATTTCAAAGGCTATGGTATGTGGTCTCTCAGTCAGGGCAATATTAGTCAAAAATTCTAGATTTTGTCAAATTCAGCAGTGTTTTAAATTCCTTACTGCCCCCAATCACACAGTCCTTGCAAAATTGCTCCTCACAGTACAGTGTAATTGTATGCCACCAAACCCCCTGGCACCACTGGGGTTGCACACTCTGAGCCAACACACCTATGCATGTCACATCTTATACTATTTTGCATTGTGCGTAATTTTACCCGTGAGACACACAGCATTGAGAGCTGTCACCAGTGGATGCCATTGATGAGCTTGAGTCAAGACTCTACCATCTATAGGGGTTTTCTTTGCCTTGAGCTCAGTTCATGATGTGATATAATTTAAATAAAAAATTTTCTCTTAGTGACAAGGATAAAAACGTTTAAAATATACAAATTGGCTCCATTACCCCATAAACCTCAGTGCCCAGTGGGGGTGATATGTCAACTTCTGCATTTTTTTCTTTATTCTGTGGAAGAATCACTTCATTACTACTGTGATGATGATATACTTATAATCACACCTCATAATGGGTGATTTCAATATGTACTAACATCTGAGTAGCCTTTGTGCCCTAGTGGTAATACTGTATAATATTATTTAAAAGTCAACATAGGAACTCTACTTCTAACAAATGTCACAACTCACTAGAAGGATCTTCTGAGATGTAAAGAAAACAATTTAACTCACTTTTAGGGAACTCTTAACTTGGCTGGAGGTATATTTTGCTTCTTAAAGGGGAAAGTAAAGAAAGATGCATTGCATACATTAAATAAAGAAAAATACCATACATTAAATATATTACTGTATATTTAATGTATTATTCTTTATTTAATATATGCAATGCTACTTTCTTTACTTTTCTCTTTAAGGAGCAGAATATACCTCCAGCCAAGATTTTGTGTCTGTAAGCAAAACTTGACTTTGCAAAGTAAGAAAATTTAACCTTACTCAGAGATGAAAATATTCAGTTTTCTGAGATCCAGTTTTAAGGGTCTCTACCTGTATCAGTTATTCTGTATCACTCTGTATGATAATATAATTTTTCTAGGTGAAAACTATGATCTTAAATAATACAGCTCATTATATCAAACAGTGAAAAGAAAAAGAATTTATGTTGAATTTGCCTATATATGACATGACTCATTATACACCCAGCAACTTGACACATTGTATGATTTACCGGTACTCCTGAGCATGCCGAGTCTGGAAATCTTCCCCCCAAAGTTAGGGGGTCGTCTTAATCGCAGATATAAAATTCTTACCTCATAAATATTGTGGTTTAGTGTGTCAGGTAATTGATAAAACATAAATAATACTCAAGATCCACTAATTATTTATACTAAAACTTCGTTGTGGCTAGTTCAAATTAAGATTGCAGTATATTAAAATAATAAAATGTAATATAGCCTGTCTAACATACAAAAGTGCTTATAAACTTTAGCTATCATCACACCTCCCCACTTCGTTATGATGAGAAGACAAGAAAGTGACGAGTTGGGCTGTTTTAGCCGTGGAGTGGTCAGTAATGCATATCGGTATATTTGCAGTAATAATGCCTCTCTATAAATAATTAATTTAAAATTTATTTTTACAAGGAATATTCAGTAAATATTTCGTTAATTCTTGAAACTATTTAGAGCAGTTAAATCTACAGGCGGCAAGTGGCGTCACTAGATGTTTACTACACCAGCTGGTAACATTGATGCCATTGGCAAGTGAATTAGCGTATTTAGTAACTAACCATAAATAAATACTAAAAAGTTAAAAAAGATCAAAAGTAAGTAATATACTGTAATAGCATATTGTGTTGTAGAAATTGAAGAACAATTAATTTGCAATTGCTTGTATAAATGAAACAGAAATCAAGTCAGCTGAACCTGGACTTGGTCACATTTCGTGTTGCCATATGGCATGGGGTCACCATTAGCCAACACATTATGGCTAATATCTTGGGCGTGTATCTACTGTTTGATAGCTGCCTACTATTTCCTACAATTTTAGTAATATTACTTTGTTGTGATAAATTAGACAAACAATGAAATAAACATCAATTTAATTACCAAACTTCCATTGGCAGCTGTAAGAAAGAATGGGCTATTTATAGCCCGTCTTTATGTCAAACCAATGCCCTAATGCCATAAATGATTCATTTAACATTTGTTTTTTGTACCTGTTTTGTCGTTTGTGTGTGGGTGTGGGTGTGTGGGTGTGGGTGTGTGTGTGTGTGTGTGTGTGTGTGTGTGTGTGTGTGTGTGTGTGTGTGTGTGTGTGTGTGTGTGTGTGTGTGTTCTTTTCACACAATCCTAATAAAACACCACAATTGAAAATCTGATGGTAGCTATTTGTATAAGCAATCCAGACACAGTCCTACGGGGAACAGAGAACACTCCTCCACTATAAATGCGAAACAAGCGTATAGATAAAAAGAAATACTTGCAGTGTGTTTACTTGTGTACAGTATATTATAAATAAATAAATAAACAAATAAATCAGTAAATCCATTTCCAAGTATATGAAAATTTTCACTGGACACTGACATTAGTTCAGTTACGGTAAATAATAAGCGGCAAGTAGCGTCACTAGTGTTTACCTACATAGCGGGTAACGTTGATGACGTTACTTGAAGTGAATGTTGCTATTTTAAAAACTAAGGATGGTTGGTAAGACTACTGGGTCAGTGGGTGATGTCACATTTGAGTGCGGTCTTATACAGCGAATAGAGCTCAAGCACTTTTAAATGGAAATTTGGGGCCATCCTGCCCGCGCCTTATAGAGCGAGATATCTGATATCTGGGCATTAAAGTCTGGTGCTATCATCGACAGTTAGATTGAATAATTAGTAATCATCAGCCAGTGTAGAATATGTGTGAAATTTTCGATGCTAACTGTTGGTTTCTCAGGCATTTGTTTGGTTTGGTGTTATTCTAA